GGCCGGCGGGGGGCTGCGAAAGGAGGGCGCGTTGTTTGTGGGTTTATGGGGGGGGGGGGCCCAAAAAAAATCTTGCACCAGGGCCCTTTGTTCCTTAGCTCCGCCACTGTTCTTTCCTTAAGCAGTTAGGAGTGCTTTTGATATTTTGGGAGTCTGATACTGCCTAATTATAAACCCTGATGAAGGCGGATTTGTTTGGCCTCTGAAATGTGTTGCCTTTTTTTGTGCTATGCGACCAGTAACCAAAATCATTATTAAAAGTATTTGGTTTCTGAGGCTTTTGCTTGATGCTCTCATTAGACTTGTGGATTATCAACTCAGGGTTCCCTTCACTTCCCCTTTCACTGACACTGACATAGTGGATATAGTGGAATAGATCTGCATGCACCTGGTCAGCTCAGTATCCTTTGTATCAGCTGCATTCCCCACTCATTGATGCGTCAGCAACCATAAACCTATAGTAGAATGGTTTCTATAACTGTGCTAGAGTAAATGCAAAGCTATGATCAGTGGTTGACATGCCGCTAATCTTAGCTATTTATTCACAAAGTGAATTACAGCATTTAGGTGTGAGCATAGACTTGAACACCTCCACCCCACACGCAAATTACACAGAACTAAAGTACACATGGGCCCATTCATCACATGTCCATACACTGCACAGCATTTTTCTTTTTTAAAACCTTATTTTAAAAAAATAACATGAATTCAAAGCAATGTGTAGCTTTGCATTGTGGTGCATGGCCATGTTCTGTAACATGCTGTGTTGCGATAAAATGTATATCTGGATCCTTTTATTATATTACACACCAATGCGGTGTACATACAGCACTGCTGATAGGGTGTTACCACAAGACATAGGTGTGAAGCCAAACTGCAGATTTTTAGCATAAGCATACCTTTGATTTTCCCCATTTCGAAAAAAAAATTGCAATGTAAAATGTACAAATATTTGTTATTTATCAACTCAATACAGCTTTATCGTTTATATTTAGTAGGAATATTGTAAGTTATGTTGTGTTTGTGCGCACTAATAATGATTTTAGTCTGTTTTTAGTGCAAATATTGTTTTCATAAACAATTGAGCAACTATAACATGACCTCAAAGTCCGTAGCACCATCTTTTTATTCTACAGGTCTTGCGCTGCATGACTTGGGGGGTATTTTAAAAACTCTGAAAGCTGTAATTTAGAAATAATAAGAAAAGGGAAAAATTCCAAAAATTGTCTATAAAAATAAAAGGGTGTTGCCATTTTTTGGAGAGAAGCCACCTTGGACTCACTGTTACGGATGGTCTCGACGTTTGAGTCGACCAACAGTTTGACTCGAACATCGGTAGTTAGTGTGTTTGGCGAACACACGAACTATCAGGGCGTTCGGCAAGCTGTTCACCCACCGAGCGCCCCACAAGGAACTGCCTTCTGAAGGCCCTGATCGGGCAAAGCAATTTTGACTTTGCCCAATCACCGCACAGTGCACTGAAGAGCCATGATTGGGCAAAGTAATGATGCCTTTGCCCAACCATGGCTCACAGCTAAGTCCTGTCAGATGCCGGACAAATGTAAACAGTTAGGCAGAGCTAGCCTAGTAGCTGTGTGAATCATCTGCTTCACCAAAATACAGTGAAATGGAGAGATGGCACTTTACTATCAAGGGGTTACTGAAATTTAAAGGTCCACAATATTATGTAATATACTTACTCTGTAGCCCTAAGCTCAGTTTTCAATTGTGTATTATTTCAGTACTTTCTACAAAGAGTTCATTTCCAAGATCCAGTGGGGGAACAAGTGTATTTTAATGAGAGAGGAGACATGGCTACTTTTTACAACATATATAGTTATATGGTTCTAATTAATAATAGATTACAAATTAAACGTTTTGCGGTTTTTAATGCATCATTGCAAGAACAAGAGGCACTCGTAGTCAACCAAGGTGCATTCTACTGGAAATATGGAGTGGTAAGTGTGTTACTAAAAGTAATTAAAATACTTAAAGGGGAGGTTTTTATAGGCACGGTGGATAAGTGTACTGATCAACCTGTGTTGAATGCAATATGGAGTCTACTATCACTAACTTGGATTTTATTGGTGCAGGATGAAGGGTTGCTATTCTGATGTCTATGACTAGTGATTCACTGGTCTGGAACAACACATGGTCAGAGCAGTCTATAATGTATAAAGCTTATACACTGTCAGGTTTTAAGCCTCACTCCAGCTTGGGCACAGAATAAATATTCTGATTCAATTGCCTCCTCTCTAGCATTGTCCTCACAGACCCACCCGTTCAGTAGGGTTGCCACCTTTTCTCCAAGTGAAACCCGGACACCCTATCGCCATGCACTGAAATTTTTTGGGGAGAATATAGAGAAAGTGAGGAGAGGCATCCAGGAGAAAGTGCAAGAAGAGACAGCCAGGGAAGGGAGTAAGGAGACCGCCTCTAGAGGACTACAGCAATATATTATACAGCTATATAAAATAATATGAAGCTACATACTCTGTGTTGTTCTGGGTTGGTGCTCTGATGTCTCCAGGTGGCCTGATGGCCTGTGTGGGGTGTCAGCTGGCCTGTGCGGGGTCTCAGATGGGCTGTGTGGCTCTCAGGTGGGCTATGCGGCTCCCAGGATGGGCTGTGCTCACACTCAGGTGGGCTGTGCGCCCTCTCAGGTGGGCTGTGCGCCCTCTCAGGTGGTTTTCAGGCAGATCCACCTGCCCGAGTTGTCGATTGCCAGGGACCTTAACAGCCGCATCTGTCAGAAATGTTAAATTGCCGGTGTCAGCACTGAGTGTCTTGTGTTTGAGTGCCCGCCAGACACCCAGACACAAGATTACAAAACTGGACTGTCCAGGTAAAAATCGGACGGGTAGCAACCCTACTGTTCATGGGTCCAGTGCAGCTTTTCTTCCTTCCTGTAGGCCCAGGGTGTCAAGGCTCCCATTGTTTAGAAGAGTTATGAACCCAAGCTTTATAGCAGCTGTGTCAATAAGAATCAACAATAGTTTGACATGGCTGATCTATGGTATCTATGGTACTGTGCTGAAATCTAGAGTATGAAGGCAGAAGTGCTTTCTTCATAGAAATTGATGTAGGGACAAAGTGTGAAGGGCTACAAACTTTCCAAATAAAAGGCCTGTACTAAAAGCTGCACTACAAGAGGAAGAGAGAGACTGCCAAAATCAAGGACCCATTTTCCTGAAACATGTAATGCCTGTTCACTAAGGAAATCATGGACCAGCTATAACTTAAAGGAGAACTATGGGGTCAGTGCTTTTCCTCCATAGTTCTCTTAAGGGTAACGGGAGTACACAAACTAACGTCCTCCTGTCACCCAAAGCTCAGTATAGTATACTTAGACGCCGCAGCCGGGACGGATCCCGACAATACTGTCTGGATCCACCCAGCTGCGTGAGTGACAGCTGGCTCTGCCTATCTAGAATACCCGTCCCCTCCCCATCCGTTCCGCCAGTCAGCGCTGGAGGATCGGACAGGGGAGGGTGGATCCTTGCAGGGAGCCGTGAGTGACAGTCACGGCTCTCTGCAGGCACAGGATCGAGAAGTGAGCGAGCGACGGTATAGGTTCGCTCACTTCCTGATCTATTGAGCCGACGTGTGACAGTTTCATTGTCACGCGTCGGCTCGAACTATGAGGCTGAGTGATTTTCACTTGCCTCATAGTTCTCCTTTTAGAGCTAAGTGACTTTTAATGTATCCCTATTGTATACAGACAATTGCCAATGTCTATTTCCTTGGAATTGATAGATAGAATATGCATGTGTGTATGTATACAAATTTATGGCACCCTTTATGCCTTTTATTGTTTTCCTGTAACTGTAAGTAGTGTGTGTATACATCATTCTTGTTTAGTAGACAAGCAGAGTGATAAACATTGCCAGCGGGTACACAGACAGAAATAAAACATACTGTAGATACATGCATAAGAGGCACTAGATCTCCATTTTTGATATCCAATGTTGTGAATGATTTTATTAATTAAGCTGACTCACTTTGATGAGTACCCCCAACAAGATGAAATCCCTGAAGAAAGTCCAAATTTGTAGAAAGCAATAATGCACCACAACAAAGATTGTGGAGTTCTGAAAAAAATGTAATTAAATATTTGGTAGAAAAAGAGAGCCAATATGTTTTAGGTGTTCAGACGTTCACCCTTTATCAGGGCATATATAGAAGGTATCCTTAAAACTAGCCCAACTTAATAGGAGATTGATATTTATATATTCAAACTCAGGTATCAGTTAATATTGTCAGAAGATTGTAAGTTACCTGATTCCTCTACAAAATGAAGGTATTTTCCCTCTTAGAGAGTTGTCACTTAAACACGGAACCCCATTAAAATATTTGTATCTGTTGTTCTGGCAAGAACTGTAAAAACCTCAGATGTGTTATAATATTTTCTTATTCCATCCATGTTTTGTCGTTTCTAGGTGTTCTGAAGAATGCCCTAAAGGTTACAGAAGAACAGCGATAAAAGGAATTCATCATTGCTGCTTTGACTGTGTTCAGTGCTCAAATGGAGAAATATCTAATGAGACAGGTGAAACTCCTCCTAAGTGCATATGTGTGTCTATCTCTTTAAGCACATCATTTTGTATTAAAAGCAAACATAGGATCACCATATATACTAACATTTAAATTGCTAAGTGAACAATCAATTTGCTGAGCAGACTCAGCTACTTTAATAAATCAACCTCATTTATTTTCTATTGATGATTTTCTTTTCAGAAAGAATTAACAGATGTTTTATTCAACTTTTTTTGTTGTAGACAAAGGATCGTGCATAAAGTGCGCAGAAGACCAGTGGCCTAACGATAAGAACCAGTGTGCTCCAAAACCTACTGATTTTCTCTCCTATGGCAATGATGTAATAGCAATTGTTGTCTCCGTCATTTCCATAATACATTTTGTTAAAACATCGATCATCTTGGTTATCTTCATCGTATACCGAGACACCCCAGTTGTCAAAGCTAATAATCAAAGCCTGTGCTTCCTCATACTAGTCTCCATCATGTTAAACTTCCTCAGTGTACTTTTGTTCATTGGCCGCCCAGTACATGTCACCTGCCTGCTGCGCCACACCTCATATGGTATCATCTGCTCACTGACTATGTCCTGTATTTTGACCAAGACTATTATGGTCTATCTAGCCTTCAAAGCCGTCAAACCTGGAAGTTGCTGGAGGAAATGTATTCAAGCAAAATGTATCCACTGCGTTGTCTTTATTTTTTCATTTATTCAGGTCCTAATTTGCTTCATATGGTTATGCATTTCCCCTCCTTTTCCAGAAATGAATACCCACTTATGTCTAGAAAAAATTATCATTCAGTGTAATGAAGGTTCTATGGTGGCATTTTCAATATTCTTGGGCTACATGGGGCTTCTAGCAGCTGTGAGTTTCATTGTGGCTTTCCTGGTCAGAAATTTACCAGATAGTTTTAATGAGGCCAAATACATCACCTTCAGCATGCTGGTGTTCTGCAGCGTCTGGATCGCTTTTATCCCGGCTTATATGAGCGTTACAGGGAAGAACACTGTGCTTGTAGAGATATTTGCTATCATTTCTTCGAATGAAGGAATCCTTGCCTGCATATTTTTTCCAAAATGTTATATTATTCTGATAAGACCAGATTTAAATACAAAAAATGTTTTGTTAAGGAATGCTCACTAATAACCAAATTGTTTTATACTGCATATTTGTCTAGTGGCCCCGAGTATGGTACAATGGTACCTAACTATGAAAGGGATAGCTGGTTCAGTTAGCCCCCCCACCCCAGGCAAAGCTTTCCATACCTCCCCTGCTTTCATTATATATAGCCACTCTTGCTCTACATCAAACAGCCAGTGTACTAAAAATATTTTAACTTCATGTAGAAACTATTGAGTTTAACACCGAAAATATATGTCTGGAATTTTACCACCAAGATCTTTATGTGCCTCCTTCTTCAGGGCTTTTAAGTTTGGCAACCTAACCAGATTTGTTTTTTCACTTGGTGAAAATTGTTTTATTGCGCCTCTTTGGCTCTTAGCATACTCCATAATCTCTATGACAATCCAGAAGTCTGTAACTCTCTACAGGTCTCTCGTGTGTGAAAAATGTATGGAAAACCTATAGAGTTGCACATGCTGTACTATGCAGAATACTGAAGGGATGCCATTCTCCTTCTCCTCTCCTGGAGGTTATGGCATACCAATAGCTATAGAGGCCAATGGGGCTGCAAAGGGGCCTGGAATGAAAATGGGCCCCATTGGGGGCATGTTGAGGAAACCTAAAAGTAGAAAATATGTGTGCATATGACGATAACACATGACATGGCAAGACATATGCTATGGTACTATGCTACGTTGCTACAGCAACTTCACCAAAAACTGCCTGCCCGTACCCAAATAAGAAACCACACCGGGCTGGAATATAAAATGGCTGTAAACAGCCGTTTATTACACAAATAATAATATATAACATGGCTGTAGCAGCCGTTTAATACAAAATAAAACTTTATTATAATAAAATATACTATAAATTATTAACTTATAACAGTAGCCAATGAACTAGGAATGCGAAAACCGTCTGTAAAACCCGACTCTAACAGTAGCGCCGCTACCCGGTCACGATATCTAGTTAGAAAGGAACGCATCCCTTCCACCCTCACCGGAGTCATCCCTCTTCCCCGCAGAATCGTTGGTACGCCCTTTTCCTTGGTTAAAACACCTGGAGAGGGGGTGACTACCCCCGCAACTGGAACACTCATGTTTGAAGCGGCAACCGCTTCCAAACCGGCAGGTTCCTTCATTATACTGCCAACAAAAACCTTTTCTGCGGGCGACCGGTTGTCCAGAGGAGGTCGAACCACCGGTCGCCCCTTGAAAAAATGGAGTAGGTGCCCTGGCTGAGGTCATTAGCTTCATCCAGAGGCTAATGTCTTTATGGTCCCAGCGAATAGTCGACCTGATTGCTTTGCGCTGACGAAACTGTTCGTCATAGCGCAGCCACGCAGTACCCCCATAAACACGATGCGCCTCGCCTATGGCATCCAGATAACAAAAAAGGGGGGAGCAGTGTTGTGGCTCCCTCTCCCCGATGACACTAGCCAATATTGCAAAAGCCTGCAACCAATTAGAAAAGGTGCGAGGAATGAGCCGGAACCGGCGTTTTTCCTCGTCCTCTTTTTTGGTATCACTGTGTTTAATCCGGTCTAAATTAAATTTTTCCAGGGGTAACAGAGAAAAAATTTGCACATATTCCCCTTTCCATATTTTTTCCCTCACTTCCGATTTTAGGTGGGAACCTAAGGGGCCTTCCAAGCATAGATACACCTCGCAACGGGCTGAATCAGCCAGGCGCACCAATTGTTGGCCATCTGTTCATTGAGCCATGCAGCCCCATGAACCTCCGCAGCAGCTTTAAGTTGTTTGAAAAGGCCTGTAAAATCAGACATTTTCTTTTCCTTGGATGCAGGGAAACGCGACAGGTGAACTGAACACGCCGTGTGCTCCCCTGGACTGCCTGGACCCCACTCCGCCCCCTCGGACCACCCTAACAGACTCCTCCTGGCTAATCCCCAGTGGCCAATACCGGTAAGTGACCACCACCCACACATCCCTAAACACGCTTAACCCTTTAAGGGTCACCAAATGCTAATTTTATTAAACAGTTGCCCCAGGTGTGGGGCTCTCCAGGACTGTGCTGCTCTCTGCAGGCAGTGGAAAAAAGGAAGGGGAGACATGCGGCTGGACTGGCACTGTCAAATATAGTCACTGCGAGGTCCCCAGCAAGTGCGGAACCTCAGGCAGCCAAATTGATTAAAAAATGTAAACTGCCAGTATCCGCGCTTAGTATTTGGGCATTTTCACGAGTACAAGTACGTGTGAAAATTCCCAGTATCTGCACTAATACCAATACCGGTATCAGTATCAGTGCATCCCTAATTTTTTTTAATTTAACTCCTGAGTTTAGGGTCACTTTAAAGCATGGTCCATTGGGGGAAAAAAATCTTCCTGATCCCCTAAGGCAATGAGAGAATTCAGTTTCATGAAAATTGTAGTGGGATTATGGAGTAACTGTAAAAGTACTAAAATCATGTCTTTTCTATTGTTACTTAAACTTGAAAACTTTTTATAAATACTCTATTTGCTGGCGTAAAAGACTACTTTTTATACCTAAAAACATCCCCCGAAAATCGGGGGTCGTCTTATACACGGGGTATACAATGTATACCTTTAGTTCGTTTAGGCCAAGCTGGCCCAAAACGAACATCCCTAATCTGTCAGCCCGCTGGATGTGTGGTAATACTGTATGTACGGTAGCTTCGGCTACATACAGTAGCTGAGTCAATCACGGCGAGTGATGTACACAACCTCTGCCAATCCAAGCAGGCTTTGTATTCATTAATAGAATACATTGCTCGCCGTGATTGGCTCAGCGCGGTATACTGTATGTAGCTGAAACTACCGTACATACAGTATTACCGCACATCCATCCATGATGTTTTTAAATGGTGTTGCCACGGAAGTGGGGTAGTCTTATATGACGAGTATAGCCCAAAACCTATGTTTTAAGTGGAAAATTAGGGGGTCGTCTTATACACCCTCTAAGCCTGATGAAGGGGACCCTGCGAGGCCCCGAAAGTGCTTGCCAATGAGATACAGCTATTGGCAATAAAATATTTTGCTTTTTCAACTCATGGTGTGCTGGTGACATTTTTCTACTGTCTTATACACCCAGTCGCCTTATACGCCGGCAAATACGTTATATATATATTTATTATTTTGTAGACTCACCCTTATGTCTCATGTAAATTGTACTGGCTGACGGTGGTGACAAAATAAGGTATTAGCTCCCAATTTGTTACACCACCTGAATGACAAAATGAAAAGACAACGATATATAATTTGTGTAAATACCTGACAAAGTTGCCACTCACATAGGAACATGCAATGTTATCCTAAAGTTTTTAGTTTGGTTGCCTTGCAGCACCAAGGTCATAGGTTCCTAGAAGTCTGCGCTTTGCTGTTTTAACTGGGATTTTTAACTGAATGGGTTACGGAAAAGAGTTATTTAACACTAAGAAAAAAAAAACATATCAATGTAGGAAAGTCTTATTTTATGAAACAGGCTAAGGTAAGAAAACAAGATATTTTTTAACAGTATTCGCAGTTACAGTCTAAAAATAATATTCAGACAACATCTCACCAGCACTTTGAAGACTATATAGTGTCGCTCAGCTCATGCAGGATCCAGCAGCGCTGTAAATTGTCACACAAGTTGCATTACAAATGTGTGATTCTCTGTTTTAAATAGTGCTCACTGTGAAAAATGTTTGGTAAATCTCTATTTTATAAAGCCATAGCATGTTTCAGTGCTCTACTACTGACACAAAACCACAAGCTCAGCACAGCTCCCCAATGTTTTATCAGGAAAATACTTTCTGAGTTTAAGATGGATCAGTTCCAGAATGGCAACATTACTATTGGTGGGATATTCACCGTTCATCATTATTACAGCAGAGAAAGCTTCCGTTATAGTTGTCTTCTGTAAGTATTCCCTATAACTTTCTATTAACCGAATAGCTGTATTTGCTCTGGTTTGTCCATGTTGAATTTATTACATTTGCAAAAGGAGTTGATTTTCAGATGGTCGGGTGCTTTTGACACAGGCCCTTCTGCCCTTGTCCTTCCCTCATTCAGCCGGGTGTGGCTCTGGCCTCCATCTCCCTTTTTTTGGGGCTCCTGGATCTACTTTTTTTTGGGGGGGTCGTAGTGGATGTGCTCCCTATGAGGTAGGCAAGATGCGCAGGCATTTGAACGTGATGTTTTATCATATTATGTAATTTCTATGTGGACATAAAACTCATGTCACTTTTTTAATTGATGAGATTGCCTCCTTGTCCTGATGAAGCGCTCTATGTGCGAAACGCTCTACTGTTTCCAGCTAAGGCTATCTACCTACATGAATTTGGACTGGCTTATATTTCTATTTATTATATAGGATAATTGTTTTGTACTAATCAGGTCCGCAGCTCCTAAATATATTGATCATGTTTCGGTTACATGCTATGCCTTAATTATGGAATGAGTGAGTGGTCTGTGGGGCTATCTTTCAATCATGTCACATGAATTTGATTATGGCCGTTTTTATGCATTTGTAATCAATAAAATAATAATTTTTATTCAAATTATCTTGTAGTTCATTGGACTTGTCATATGGTGCCATTAAAGAGTTTCTAAACCCTCAGCTTTTGTTTTTTTTTGGCATATATCTACTGCTAGCAAGCAGTAGATATATGCAAAAGGTTTTTTTAAAAAACCAAAAAAACGCTATAACAGCAGTTTAAACGTACCCCGTCTTCGCTGCACGCTCCCGTCCGAGAAAATGAAACTGCTCGGGCGGCCGCAAAGCATCTTGGGGCGGGCGCATGCACAGTTCGGATTTTGGCTGGGAGACGAGCAGAAACGCAAGGTAAGTTTATGGACGCATGCACCCGCATGCAGACACCACTAGATCGGAAGTGCCTGCAAGGACAGAGGAGTCAGCGCTGGATCGGAGAGCCGCCGCACCGCTGGAGGGACAGATGAAAAGGACAGGAAAGAAGAAGAAGATCGGATTAAGAGACATCATTAAAGGTAAGTGCTGACATTAACATTGGGAGGAGGGAAACATTTTTTGCCTCTAAT